TATAACGTCGAATTTATTTATTTACTAACTTATGGGTATTTGTCCGGATGCTTCTTTCCTATTTCTCACTTTGATAACTTACCATTACTAATTACTCCTCTATATCTTAAACAACTTTTGTCTGCACGTATTACCATACAAACATAGGCTTTCCAGATGGCGGCCGCTGCCAGTAATCAGGCAGCCTACACAACAGGCGCACAACTTCAGCTTACTCAGCCGCAAGGACATACCGGGCAGACAGTCACTGTGCATGTACCTTTACAGACTCTACAACAGCATCAGCAACTAGGTCAGGCAACACAAATGATCCAAGTGCAGACGGCAGCGGCAACAGCTGCTGTAGCCGGCCAGTCTTTAAACAGTAGGATTGTTTTTGTTCCCTAATGCTAAAATAAATATCTCAATATCCTTGCTCTATAATATTGGATAGGTGTATATTGCCCAATATTTCTTTGCTTATCATGCAATCATTATCTGTACGCTATCAGTAGGAAATAAAATAGGGTCTGTGCAACTATTATTATCCTAAATACGAAGTTACTGGGATTCGATGAATCTTATAAGATAAAATTGTTGGGGAGACATTTATTTCTTAGGAAATTGCATTCGAAGGCGATCCCACTGGAAGACGATGACTGATCCTTGTTGTTCTGTAGCCGTTTGGCTTTAATACGACGTTCAGGTTGACGCAGTCCACAAGAAATCCTACCTCGTTTCGGTGGAAAATGGCTTGAGCTTCTATCCATCATATGCTGGAAATCCTCAGAGCTGGAACTCATTCTTGTAAAAGTTTCATGCTAACATCAGATTAAGAAGACTATCCGGATCTATCTCATCTTTTATCTAGACTGATAGTTGAAATAACCAAAAATAATAGGCATAGTTAACTATAGAACGCTTTGGTTAACTATCTTTCATATTAGTCACACTACTTTTGCTCGAGTGTATGTTAACGTCTTTAGTAATATAAGTCCTAAATCAGATTGATCACAAAAGCCTAATTCCAGGCTCTGGTCATAAAAGCTTAATGACCAAAGGAAAATCCCTGACCGAGACTACGTAAGTTCGTAAGCAACTACGGTTGAGATAATG